GTAAATAAATAAATATGGGTCATGAATTAACCTCGGGAGTGTTGGTTGTCATCAGTTAGGAGCGAGGGAGCCTGACATACCTTCCATGGGAATCTATTCCACGGAGATGGGGCCACAATATTATAAAAGCAATGGTAGGATAGTGAGTGGTCAACTGAAGAGTTGGTTGGATGGGATTTATTTATTTATTATTTTTAGAAACAATATTAAATAATCCTGAGTTGGCATTTCCACAAAACTCAGTCATTCTATTTTTGGTTAATTTCTGATGTACTAAAGCAGGGGTCCCCAACCCCCAGTCCGCAGCCCAGTGCCAGTCTGTGGACTTGCCGGAACTGGGCCATGGAGATGGATCTCCTCCCCCCGCCTGCCCACACGGAGGTTGTGTTGCACTCACTCAGGGGTGGTGTTGCGCTCATGCAGGGGGCATGTCATGCTCACGGGCCATCACGCTCGCTCAGAGGGCATGACACGGTTGTGCAGCGAGCATGTTGCGCTTGTAGGAGGGTGTCGCACTGGGGCGTGTCACACTTGCATGCAAGCATGACACCTCCCGCAAGCGCGGGGTGCCCCCCGTGCATGAAGCCCGCCCCCCCATCCGCAATCCCAAAAAGGTTGGGGACCACTATATTAAAGCATATGTCTTCTGACAGATTAAAAACGAGCAACTTTTCTAGACAAATCAGAAGCAATCTATGCAACTATGATGTTTCATTGTCTCCCATGATTGCTGCCAAGACATTATCTGAAACTGTTTTATTTGATAGGCAGTCCTTCTCAGACTCAGAATAGATCCTACCCGCACTGGGAATCATATTTGAAAAGTTAACATGTAATGGGTAGTCCTCTCAGTAAACATCTGGCAGGGTGCTGTATTGCCAAACACTCCAGCCAGACATAGCAAAGATTATTTTCTTGGATTACATCTTGTGACATCGAGTAGCCAGCATGATTGTGGCTCCAACATTAGAACACTTTATTATCAGCTCCGGAACCGACATGTTAATGTCTTTTTAATTTACATCAAGAATAGGCTACACATCCAATGAAATACAGTGGTTACCAGGCATCTTATTTAGAACTGAATTCTTCATGCTGATGAGACAGTTGAAAGAGAGGCAAAAGAGTCCCAAGCAATGCAAAAGAACAATATAGCCCAATGGTGAAGACTCAGAAAACATTGTTGTGATCATGGTTGTGGTTATAGAAAATATCTCAGGGACTTTGTGACAATCATTTTCACTTCATCTGATGATCTATGAAATGAGATTAGCAGTGCCTTGCAGAGATGTTGTGATGCTTAATACATGTATAGTGGTTTGTAAAATCTCTTGAACTTCACACTTGCCATGGGCCTTAGACATGAAAACTAATTATTTATATTTACCTCTCCTATGAACTTTAATTGGTTTTTACTTTACTTAACTCCCACTCCTGAGACATGTTCTTCCCACTTTCTCTTACATTGATGGCTAGAGAAAATAATTGCCAGCTCACATGAGTACCACATATGTTGGGTTACAAACTGCTCCTGGCTTGGCTTCTCTGTGGCATAAGATAGTTCTAAATTCTGCACTGCAAACTCAACCAGACCTAAGCCAAAGATGCTGGGGATTTTACTAGTTTTTTTAAAAAATAAAACCTTATTCCCAGCACCAATTCTACATGCAATCCAATTAACATTTCCAACTTGAAGTCCTCTCATTTTGAAACCTCTGAGCAGAAAAGGTTTGCATTGTGTTTCAATGAATGAAATGACAGGT